TAGAATAAAATTTAGATTGCATCAATCTCTCCTATAATTTTCTATATAATAGTATTTACAGTATCTTTTCTTACATCTTCAGTTGCTAAATTAACTGCTATTTTTACAGCCATTTTGGTCACTTATAAGTATTATCACATTAAAATTTTCACTGATTCAAGTATTGTAATCTTTTAATTTAACTGATACAAATTGTTATCTTCTATCTCTCCACTACTAAAAATTTTAATATTTATATCTGGCATAGCTTCTTTCAAGTGATTAATAATCTATTTCTAACTATATCTCTAATTAAAATTAAAGCATATTTAGTAGATTCATTTAATAAAAAGTAGATATATTAGTTAAAAATGCATTAGATTTTTTTAGCCTTATATTTCAATATTAATAATCAATCTTATCTAACATTTTACTTTAATCAATTATCTATTACATTACCCATTTGATCACTTATCAAAAAGATTATATGGTTAGCATATTTGATTTCATTTTTGAATTTAGATATTATTCTCAAATATTATTCAGTTAAGATCAATTAGATAGCTACTATATATTGTATTATAGATAATACTGCTCTCTAAGCAATAACATATGAAGTATTAGTAATTAAAAAAAAGAAAATACAATAAATCCTAAAAATGCTTTCTATCATGAAACACATGGAGCTTTGCTATTAAAAATGGTTTTTGGGGACCTTTCAACAAAAAATGAGATTTTTGATTTATAATATAGTATACTAAATGAACTTTATTTGGTTAAATTTTTAGAGGTTATTAGCTTATTAATATGTAAGCAATTAATGCTAGCAAAAATGCTTAAATTTTGTATAACATTATTATAAAAATTTAAAATTAGATTTTTTATGTAAATTTTAGAAATGATCGATATATTTTGGAATAATAATTATTATATAGTATTGCCTTAATTAATTGATTCAACCCAATATATTTATTTTAATATTTTTAGTGCCATTTTTTATTGGATAAGTATGTTTATTATGGCGTAACTATTTTTTGATCATCATTTAACTCAAAATCAATTTATAGTCTCAGAACTCACTTTTAATAGCAAAGCTCCCACATAATTAAAATAGCGATTTCTCAAAATCATGTGATCGGCCAAATTCTGACTTTTGGAGTATCCTTATCCTGGATCACGATCCAGATACTTATCCTGAATCTCGAATTTGATTGGGCAAAAATTGTTATATTTTTGTAACACAAGTTAATAAATTTCATACTGAATTTTATATACAAAATACAGACAGAATAAAATACTAAAAAAGGTATAATGTATTTATTTTGTGCAAGAATTACACTTTACTATTAAAAATTTTTATTAACAGATTATTTACGTCAAAAATAATTACTATACAATTGCAATTTCTACATAATGCATAAAACAAAATTCCAAGTGATCAGTTTCTAATATGTAATGATAAATTAAGAAAATTTTTATAATCATAAAAATAAATAATAATAAATAAATGTTATTTTTATATCTTTATTCTGTAATATTTTCAAATAATCAAGCAACTTTTTTGTAAAGGATTAGACAAAAATTAGTTGTAAAAAAGACAAGATAATTCATTATCTGATAATGTAAAATTAATCTTTTAATACCTTTTTGATATTTAAATTTTAAACATTATAAATAATGATAAGACTATATCTTTTTTTTCTTAAACTATTGTCTATTTCCACTATTTCTATATCCATTAATTCTGTCACTGATATTTGTGGAAAATTCTGAAATACCCTATCCTATGTATTAAACTAGATGCGTTAATATTATCATTTTTTTTATCATCATATTCAGAAATATTTTCTTTTTCTTGTAATGACAATCACTGTTATTATTGGATCTTGTTTTCCATTTTTTATTTGATAAGTCATTCATTACTTTACTTTTTTTTTCTAATTTAACATAGTAAAAATAGTATTAATAAAAATTAATTTATAAAAAACAATTACAAATACATTTTTTTTGAATTATTATTAGTAGCCTGAAGATTTTTAATTAAATTTTTTGTTGTATTTTTACAAATTTTTTGATTATTTGCACTTTTTATTCTATTTTGTAATAATGTATTGTTTGTAATATAAAATTCCTGTGCCATTTTCAGGTACTTTTTACCAATCCTTTTATTTTATGAAAGACTTTTATTAACAAATATTCATAATCTTTAAAACGTTCAATAATTTTGTTATTTGAAGATTGAATATTATTACAAAATAAATGAAAAGTTTGCATTAAAACAAGATTACTTACATCTTTTCTCCATTGATTATGAAATAATGATTCTGAAAATTATTTAAATTAAGTTGAGTTGCAACATGAAAAATATGTTAGCAGATAATTCCTGAAAAGGTAGTGTATTTACAAGAATATACAAAATAATTTGTTTCACCATTATATACCACTTTTCTTTTAGATTTGACTTCATAATTAAAATGGTAAATTTGATAAGTTTATATCATTTCAGTTCTATTTTTTAAAAAAATCATGCATTTTATAGTATTAGTACATTATTACAATAAAAAAAGATATTATATTATATAATATACCTTGAATCTAATAGTTCAACACATAAATAACTCGTAAATTGTAATAACTATTCTTGTGTTAATTTAAATATATAATTCGTTAATATTTCTGAGGCCTAATATTCAAGTAGACTTAATATATTAAAAGTGACATTTTCGTGAATTTGCTTATATTTAGCTAATTGTAAATCATTTCACGTTACTCTAATACTGATTCAAATACTTTTAAAAAATCCAATAATGAATAAGAAGCATCCATATAACTTTTCATTAAATTATTCATAGATTCGTCATGCTGTGTACTTATCATATCTGCTAAAAATATATCTCTGATAAAGTAAGACACACATTTCTCTTTTATTTTATCCATTTTTTCTAAATATGATTTCGAATCTAAAAAATTTTCTTTAAGTTGCTACCATTTAATTATAAAATTATCAACTTCATATTTTCTTATGCAATTGTAAATGATTTAGTGAACTTCTGCCATTTTGTTTCTAAAACATTAGCAATATTTTTGATAACATTTTTTCAAAGATGTCATATATATAAAACATGTTTAGTATTTTATCTAATTGTGATCTCTATCGCCTGAGAAATTGCTTTATCTTTATCAGTAAGCATCACTTTAGATAAATAATTATTAACAAACTTAAGAAAGTATTAAATACTCATACAAAACTATCTATTGTTTCTTGACATATTAAAGTTCCAGCAAAACATACACTTTGACTGAAATTGTTTATTCCAATAAAATCCCAATTGGCATATTAAACCTATTTACTTTATATGTATTATTAAAAATAATAACATCTAAAAATCTGTTATAATATCGCTTTTGATCAGATCACATCCAAATTACTTGAAGTAATTAATTTGTATTAACATCAACTCTAATTTCATATTCAAATCTATTAATTTTTCTTTTAAGTTGTTTTAAGATATTTATAAATTCTTCTACTTCAAAAAAGCATTGTTCTTGTTTACCATTTAACTGATATATAAAATTATAAATATCATTATAAATCTATATTTCTAAGTCTTTATATTCTTGCTTGAGAATTGAACGAATAGTTGGTATATTACAGCCTGCTTGATAATAAACTATAATTCAATCTTTAATTTCTTGAAGAATTATTCTTTCACTACTAGGAAACATTTTGTGTTCAGAAGCAACCATTTCATGATTATATTCCAAATTCATAGTTAAAATATGCCAAAATATACTATTATTATTAAGTGAAGCTTTGATAAAAAATGAACAGTTACATCTTTAAGATTTATGATCTCTTGAGTTAACTTTATTCTCTTTACTTTCAGAAACACCTGCACATGAATATAAGATTATTCTTCTTATAATATTTTTTTCTTTATCATGACCTACTTTACTCAACCGTATCTGAAAATTGCAATATGACACGTAATTTTGAACTCTTGTTACAAATTCTTCATGGCTTCTATATCTGAAATTTTTAATTCAGGAGATTTTATAGTTCAGCTCAGAAGTATTCATAGTTACTAAAAAAAAATATTAAAGAATGAGTTTACACAATTAATTTATACTCTTTATATTTATATTTTCTTATGTTTAAATAGTTCTAGTTATAAATAATACTTACAATATTTTTATAAGTAAAAGAGGTGTTATAAAAAGCTTTTAATATGTATTATTATATGTATATAAAGTCATATGGCTAAGTAAAAAAAATGTTTTTATTGATTTTATTGATTGAAATTTAGCCAATCAATTTGACTGACCCAGGATAAGCATCGATCAGGTTAAGCTTTTGTCTATCAATTGTCGATCATTGCTATAAAATCTAATTTTAGATATTTGATTGACATTATACAGAAATTTAAGCATTTTTGCTTTGTTTTATTAATAAGCTAATAGCCTCAACAAAAAATGTGATTTTTGATTCAATATTATAATATATTAAATGTACTTTATTTGGTTAATTTTTAGAGAGAAAGGTTCTCGTAACCCATTTTTAATAGCACAGCTCCCATATGTTATACAGCAAAGACGCAGTTATTTCTGCGGCTAATAACGTCCTATCTAATTATCTGTTTTTATGCCAATCCTCCTTAAAGCAATTCTTGTATAACTTTTCTTTAAAATGGTCGCATGATCATCATGAAAGTTGAAAATTGCTTTTGTTTCCAAATTGAATGACTTTGTCAAACGTTTGCTTTTTATAATATGATTTACAATCCATATTATTGCCAACCAATTTTATATAAAGGGACTAAGCCAACTTCCCTCAAGTAAAATTTTTTTTACTCAACTTCTTGCTGTTTAAAATTATTTTTATTACAGAATTTTATTTGTTATATAACTTTGTCATTGACATTTCTATCTAATTTCAAACAGTTATTGTCAACGTATTTATCTATACCCCTCAACTATTCTATCAATTTATCATTCTAAATTAACGACAATAATAACGAAAAATGGACACTGAACTTGACATGGGAAAATACTCTGTAAAAAAGTCCAAGAAGCCTCGTGCTGCAGGCTCTCAAACTTCGGGCTGGACAACCACAGCAGGAACCAGCACTATCCCCGAATCACTTATATCAGATATGAACAATCTGAAAATTGCCAGAGGACGTCTCGAACGCTACGCTGCTGAGGCAGGTGACGAACGTTATCTTAGCCAAAGTTCCAACAACAGATTAGAGGCTAATACAAAAATCTTACGAGAAAAAGCTATAACCGCAGCGCTCGACAACATCAAACGTTCGATGAACGTAGATCTTTGTTTCGTTTTGGACTGCACTGGCTCTATGTCAAGCCACATTTCCGCTGCAAAGGATTGTATAATACAGGTGGTAGACTACATGGAACGTACGAATCCTAGCATTAAAATTTGGGTTGGTTTCTGCGGTTACCGTGACTACTGCGACGGTCATAAACGACTGGAGACTTTTAATTTCACTGATTCATACGACCAATTCAGAAGATATGTTAGGAATGTACAAGCCACGGGTGGTGGTGATGTACCGGAAGACGTTCTAGGTGGACTTAACGCTGCAATAACTAAAATGAACTGGAGTCATACTACTCGCGTCATTCTCCACGTCGGTGATGCTCCACCGCATGGACGTCGTTTCACTGACGAACAAGATGATTATCCGAAAGGCGATCCGAGTGGTCTAACTGCTGAAAGCGTTCTTGGAAAGATGAAATCATCGAACATATTATACTTTTTCGGAAAGATCACACAATGTACCAATAAAATGCTCCGCATATTCCGCGAAATAATTGGCGAGTTTCCGGTGTTTGATCTTGAGGATGTGGGAGGCAATCCGACTTCATTAATTGCCAAATTTTTCCAGGCTACTTGCTCGGCCATTTCTTCTTCTGTCTCATTGACCAGTACTTTGGGAAATAACATATATGAATTACGTCGAAAGGATTTTGATATCAACCCAATCGAACCTAATTGGCACTCTATCAGGCAGCAGGCTGGTACGGTTGCATGGTATAAAGTTCCTAAAACTCTGGCTGACATCAAGAACAAAGAATACTTCAACCAATTAAATACCATCACTCAAAAAATCTCATTCAAGATTGCCCCACAGCCATTCTCCGTCGGTGCGGAAAGATACGCATATTTTGGACTTAATGTCACGGGAGTACCAGCTGAAAGGATGGTTATAAAAGAATATCTTGATTCTGGTAAGAAAGCGAACTCAATTGAACGGTACCTCGAAGCGGTAGAAGTTTCGAACATAGCGCATTTCCTTTCCTTGAAATTTAATTTAGCCGCCACACGGGCCGGTATTCAAAAAAAGGTTAAGTTCCTTCACGTAAAGTTCTTGAGTATTACAAACGGAACTCGGTATTACAATGTAGAACCGAAAATAAGTAATGCAGAATTTAAGCGGTTCAACGTGAACAGTGGTGTTATTACTGAATTCCATTCCACACTTGAGGCGTTTGCTCATTTCACATATGATTTCACCGGAGGATATTTATTGGTTTGTGATCTACAAGGAGCGGAATTCTCCAATCATTTCTTATTAACAGATCCAGCGATACATTGTACCGATTCCTTAAGGTTTGGAAGGACAAATCTTGGGAAGAGGGGAATCGAAAAATGTTTCTTGATAAATCATAAGTGTGGTAGTGTTTGTAATAAGTTAGGATTGAAAGCTCCTTAATTTATTTATTGGTTACATCTGCGCCTTCTTTCAATTTTTTATTTTTATTTTTCAATTAAACCTTTACATTATTTGATCATAAAAATTCCTGACAAAATAATTAATATTAATCTTTAAACTATATTTCAAAAAATATCAAAATTGTATACTTGCCAAAAATTGCTTTTTTATATTAATAAAATTTTTGCTATTAAAATATTTTACAATAATCATACCCTGAAAACCATTATTTAATTCAAGTATTTATAACATCAAATTTATTTGCCACATTTTAATTTCTTTTTGGACTTCATATAAACTTGTGAGCTATTGGAAAATAGATTTCAATTGTTTTTTAACAGGAACAATTTGCTTATCTAAAAAAGTTATGACCAAGATAAATGTCGTCAAAACCTTTTTTCCTCTTTTTCAACTATCCTTTTTCCACTAAAATATTTTTCTCGTCACAATAATAATGATACAGAACAACTTTACTTTTAAAAACACAGAATTTTATTTCCTGCCGTACCTGGGGATTCGAACTTTAACCTGTATGGTAAGCTCGCATTTTATTTATTAGTTATTATTTGTAGTCCCCTGTCATTATCATACTATGGACAAATATCTTCCCAGTATGATTAATTTCTCTCCTTGATAATTGATTCCTAAACGTAATTGAATTTCCATGAGACTATTAGCGATTGTACAATGACTTTCTTACTTAGTTCTTGTATCCTTATCCTCTCACTTTCTTTAGATATTAAAGAACAAACAATTCAACCAATTATGGTTATGATTAAACTTATTTCATGTATTTATTACAATTAATACTTATAATTAATCCAATTTAATCATTAATAATAATTATTGAAATTAAGTTATAATTGTTATCATAAATTATAATATAATCATAATAATATTTATAGTAAAATATTAATTTTTAGAAATTTTTATAATTATAACCTTACAAAATCATTATTCACAAATAATCTAAATAAAAAATAAGACGGGTTTAATAATATGCGACTCATAAATTGGCGATAATAGAAATTTTTACGCGTTACAAATCTATAAATTAAAATCGCTCGCGTTTCGTAAAACATTAGCCCTGTTCATTTCTAGATCGGACTGGATCGACCGAAAAAAAATGTAACCAATCATATCGAAGTTACAATTGAGC